AACAACGTATTATTATGACATAAGGTATTGTGACTGAATACTACGATAAAACATGAAATTTATTTCACATAAATATTCAATTGTACTTTCCTCGTAATAAATTTTATATCGTAGTGAGATGCATACACCATATATTCTTGTTTTAATGACTTTAATATTAAAATATGTGTACCAAAGAGAAACATCCTTTCTTAGATATAGGTTTTATGTTATGTTTACCACATACCTCATGAGTTGCTGTATCAAATATCTAACAGAATATATTCATAAATATAAATTTGAGATTATGTGTATGTACATATCATTTTCATTCTTTATTTTCTCATATAAAGACTTAAAATAATCGAGTAGAAAGATACAAATCAGTTATATACATATATATGTGTCATCATAATGGATAGTTATTTAATTTTAGGTAACTATTGTTAATGTATCTTAAAACATACAGATAAAGTAACAGATACACGCATATCATGTGACATGGGTCATTATAATAAAATTATTTGCGCAAAGTAATGGCATCACACAAAAGTAAAAGAAACAATATCTTTATTCATGTAGTTGTACTAATGCTAAGTAATCCGCAACTTCATTCATATGCAGAGAAAAACTGACACAATCTAGTTAATCTTGTCAAAACATATTGAACATAATAATATGCTAAGGAAACAATTGCTAAAATATATTAAAATAAATAATTCCACGCATATATAACCGCGAGTAACTGCTAGTTTCGAGATCTTTAGCACAATGTCGAAAGAAAATAAACACAAACATTAAATAGACCATCTACTGAATTAGTTATCAGTAATGCCGGACCGCTGCAAGAATCAATAGAAATGGCTGAACAAACATTGCACGTATTTCCTAAATAGTTACGTATTCTGATTATTACGTAAACTGGTTTTCGGTAATTGTCGACGAGCAGGTAGACACCAGGTCATGCATCGAGGCCGACCGCCCGATTGGCATTTACCTATGTATGGATTATGTGATCGAATGTGGCACAGATAAACCAAAACCGATACGGCCTTGTATAATCTATTTTCGTATTAATTCGTTGCGGTGACAGGTTATGTTACTTTTTAATTATATGGACATTCAAGGCCACGGTACACTAATATACGGGTATGTATGTCGTACATCTCTTCTAAATACGTCAAAAATATGTTTATTTGGCAAATCATTGACATCGTATTGTTATCTGTGATTAATTATTGATAGTATTTCGAGCGTCCTTATCATAAAATCTGAATAAATATAAATATTAAATACACTTGTATAAATATACCTAATCATTATATTATTGTAATATACTGAAGTAAATTCAGTACAAATTCGTCTGCTCGTGAACCTCTCTTTACATCTAAGGAGCTTGATTTTTAAGCTTTCTTTCAGTTAAAGTGTGAGGTTTCGCAGTTAAATTACAGGATACGAGGTAATGAAAATTTGGTCCTCTGGGATGCACGATAAGTCACAAGATCGTTATACTATCTAAGTATATAGTCGACGATTTTTTTACGGATTATAATGGAATAATGTATCCGCCTGCGCTAACTGTTTCAGCTTACGGGGCCTCAGTGGAGGATCATAATATAAGCATTAAGTTATGTCAGCTAGCCCGTTGTTGCAAATTCACCAGGAATGTAGCATGATGGTTTCCAGGGAGAACCGCGTAAAGGTTAAACTAACATATTAATTGCTAGCAATAGGGTTATTAGTCTATATAACTCGCAATCTCCTTCCCTCTATAATCGATTGCCATTAACTATTAGCCAGAGACATCACCATACTTACCAATCAAATTATATAAAACACTTTCACAAATCTGACCATAAGGGACTGACTTGTGCCTAAATCACAGGCATCCATTGTCCCTTCATCTAATATGTCAATAAACACTGTGTTCGTCTAAACGGGGTCAATGAAAAATTCAAAGTTTTCTTTCCCGGTCGCTACCAATTTCTCGAGATTTCATATTTAATTATTACATTTAACCGCATACTTCATATCAAACGTTAATAAACCACGATTATTTCCTTAGGTAGAGTTGTTCGATATCAATATAAATTAAACTGCTGTGTTTCTATTTGATATCCTTACAACAAACCCTGGCTACTTAGGTGCACTAGGTACAAATTTCTCAAGATTTGGAAATAATTAATTTATTCGTTGTAATTTTCGTCGGACCAATGAACAACGTGGAATTGTGTAGGTATTGAGCAAAAATTGCAGAGCAATCAATTGCGTACTATGAGCTAGATGCATGCATTCGATTCGGTGATGCGTTACAAATATGTCACTTACCTAATCATCGAGTAATTATGGATTAATGGGATGATCTGCAAGGCACATCTGCTATAACCCAGGAGTAAACATGAGAACACCAAAAAAATTATGGTAGAAATAGAAATTATTTTATAAATAATTTAAACCAATTTTATAAATGCAAATGTGTGTCTGTCCATCTGTTTGCTAGACGTCATTTTACACTGAATAACTGAACGGACTTTATTTGAATTACGTAAAGATGTATCAGGAAGTTTCAGGAATTAGCCAACCTTAGCCACATTAAGTTTCATTATTACTGAAACTTACTTCAACGATTGTACATAAATACGTATCACTTATTATCTTAATAATTAGTTCATATATATTCGTCATTTCAATATACCTACGCACAATTTACAGATGACTGCGACATCTCCATAAATATAAATAAATAACATTAAGAAAAAACTAATTGCCATAATTTCAATGCCTTGCATTTATAATTCAAATTGATAAAATATATATAAGCAATTTTATAGTGTATCTATTTACCATTTCTAATAAGCTATTAGGCCTACTACGACTGTATTTACAACCGGTATCTATGTAATTACTAATATACGCACCACAGAGCAGCTAACGACTATATTCAGTATAGTGTTGATTATACTGAATTCATTAAAATCATTGGTTGTGTAATATGAATTGGTGTACTGGATTTTCAGTTAACACGTATACTGTAACCATCTATTACAAGTGAACCAGAAATAAGTGAACACTATGAGTGTTAGTAAGTGCCCAACTTCAACAGAAAGCTCCATCTATGAAGATTAAGCATTACTACACTACACCACATTCCAAAGGTTTCACCTTCTTAAAACCGAAAATAGGTTTATTTTATACTATCTGACCCGTGATTTCGGACGAGTATAATTTTTTTTTGTAAACCGAACAGATTTAAGGATTGTACAATGTATAAGTGAAAACCATACTCAAATCGGGTAAGCCGTTTCGGGAATATTGCGCACAAACTAACAGACAAAAATTGTAACTTTCATAATCAACTATTCTATTACGTAGATGAAGTACCCCAATAATAGTTTATTTTTCATACAACTATCATGTACAGGCAATAATAAATTACACTTTTATTATATGTTTACAGACGTTAGATGGAAGATAATCGTATTTAGGAATCATATATTACCTACTTCATTCACGCACCGACATAAGCACCCATTATAGGAGCATTGTTATATATTAACAATTTTTTACCATATTGCTACGACTAACCGAATACTGAACATGTAATATAATAATTGTTAAGTTAATATATTTCGACCATCACCTATATTCTATTAATATTTAATACTATTCAAAACGAACGACAAACTAACAGCTAACCTATCGTCTAATTGGTATACCTTAAGTACCGGCAGCGACGATCTAGTGAAGTGTTTACTTACTTAATTAAGAAGGCATGTTTAGTAATTACTATAATTTCCAAATACTCGCTTACTAAGTAATCTATTCTAAACTTGAATTATTACTTAATACACCAATTTAACGGTCAACTAAACAATGTGTAAACCGGACTTAAAAATAACAGAGATCACAGTGAAATCATATTTTTAATAACTCATAATTATATTGACGTCTTATACTAAAAAATAGCAACGTAAACATGCTGATAGACATAATGATTATATTATAGTATTTTAATGTTTATGCCTAATTAATGGCTACGTTCAATAATATGTATGTATTACTACTATGATAACTTAAAGTGGAATTTTTCTACGTTCAACTGTATTTTTATTATCTGTAAAAAAGAAATCATAATTTAGTCATGCGTAACGATCTTTTATATTATCTGGATTAATACATATATGTTTTGAAAATGTCTTCTTTTTTTACTTTATTTAAACCTTCCAATTATTGGACTTCAAGTTTTATATAAGACAGCATGTAAGTCCAACTTAGTTAAATCCAACTCAGGTGTATAAATAACGAGATAAAGCCTCCTCATCAATCGTCAGTTCGTTGATAATACATCCAGTCATTTGTTTTCATTAATGAAACACCCTCGTTTAATTTTATCAATAATCACTGTGAGTGATGAAACACTTTCAATGCGTAATTTAAACATTGAACAAATCTACTATTGGTGACATAAACATACATACTCGTATAATCGTCTGTTAGGTAGTTAAATTGATGTATATAAATTACAAGATATCCTCGTAATTTATTTTATAGTTAACGAAATAAACCACTTAGCCATTGTTAAAGTATAACTTAAAAATTCTAAATTGTTAAATGAACTTACTGTAAAATAGAATTATTTTAAACCCCAAGTTATTTTGGGTACCGTACGCGTAACGTCATTGCAAATGCATAGTAAGTGTCAACATTCATTAAAAATATAACGTTTCAAAAATGTCTTTTAGCAAATCTAATAGAAAAAATATATAAATAAACGTTAATATTCATAGTATTAAAATCGCGGAAACAGCTATAACACGGTGGTCATCCTACTGCGACTGCGCGCCGTGCAATATTGTGCATCAAATGGCGCATTACGTTTGCGCGGGAAAAATATAAAGGACATACTAATTCTCTTGTGCTCCTAATTCTTATTTGTTTTATACTATTGTTTATATCTGAGAGCTAGAGCCTACTAAAATACCTAACAATAATATCTAATATATTTCGTTTTCTTGTTCCAGATTCTTGGTGCTAATATTCGCTGGCTGTGCAGCGTACAATGTAAAAATCCGAACAAATCGACCGAGTTAACTGTGAATTGAAATTGTGCTATAATAACTGTCTATAACGTGCATAGTGGTTTACGCGTCATCACCAAAAACTGGGATAATTACAGTGAAGTGTATTGAAACACGGATATTGGACCGTGATCATCAATTTGGCGGTATAGCCTTGGTAAGTTCCACTTTATTTTTTTACAGCTGTTTTTTTCCAGCCAGTGCGGTTGGATTAGATTTACTGACGTCAAATAACAAGTATATATATATAAATGTCGATAAATAACTCCAAAATCGCAAATTCTGGTAAATTAACTTTAATAATGTTATCTGTATGTCAATTTTCAAAATTATAATTCTTTTAATTAATGCAATTTGTGTTAAATCTGCTATATAATGTCGATAATATAGATTGTTATAGTCCAGTATATATTAAAAATAATTTATTATATTAAATTATTAATTAGTGGCAGGATTGCTTTTTTTTTATTTCGGTTTTTTCGAGTTGGCGTAGAATAGACAAAAATGAAGGGAAGTGAAGAACATTTGCGAAGCAATGAAACAAAACACATTAAGATATAATATTTCTCGATTTCTTTCTTGTGCAAAGAACCAATGTAAGAAATCTATAACATTGACATTTAATAGAAGAATAATAAATATCAACTTAAACAAACTAAGATCCCGCTAAAAATGGAAAGATTAAAGATGCGCTATCGTGTGATTGACAATCGACCTTCCCATTTAAATCGACTGTTTCATAAATTTATATTATCAAATTCGATCTTTGCTACTGATTTAAAAAGTAAATATTAATGTCTTTGGTAAATATCTTAAAAGATATTTGTTGGCAGCGTTTTTACGGTATTATTGACTTGTAAATATCATATTGCCTTTTATAGAGGATGCTTAAGATAACTTAAAAAATTTGGCTAAGCTACACGTCAATAGCTCTAACATTTTTACTAATATTAAAAAATATCCAAATGTATTTTGGCAAAATTTTGCTATTGTACAGTATTTACGCCGTTGCATAATTGTGGCAATGTACTGTTATGTTCCAGACTATAGAATTCTAAGTGGTATAAAACAGACTACAAAGTCCTAAATATAAATTGAGCATCTCTAATTTGTTAGATACACGTGCTACGTGCTTTCTACTTTGTTCTGTTGATTGTGTTGTCTCCAGGCTAACACTATAATGACATGTTATTGAGCAAGCCACTTTCTTTTTAAAACCAATGTTCAGAATGGCCTCACGTACTGTAATTTCAGTATCGTCTTAACTCTACAGGCGTAAATGTTGTCACGACCCACATACTGAGTACGACAACATTAAGAAAACATTTATCTACAAAGGCTTTCTTATTTTTTATTCGGATAAATATTAATAAATGAACACAATATGTTCTAATAAGTACTCCTAAACTTAACAGATTTCATACAGTAGATACTAAATAACTTTCAAACATACATTTATAGTAAGCTAAACTGATATTATGCACATTTTAAAAAAATACTAAATTTATTTTAAAAAAACATTACAGAAACTTTTTGGTATTTATTTATCAATGTTAAAAAACCCCAAATGTATAATATTTAATTTAAGTTTTTTAATTACATAATTAAAAAATACTATATCGTTAATTTATATGCGGTTGAACTAGGAGAGTCCTGTCAAAAACTGCAGCAAGTTAATAGAATTATATCTAGAGCTGCTTATCAGACTCCTACCAAATTTGACTGGCCAGGTAGAGAAATACGAACAGTGAAGTTGAGTGTTAACGTACTCGACATAAGTACAAGGGGCCACTTAACCTATCCAGCTCACAAGTTCCGGGGACTGCTATGAATGTCCATCTCTGCCACAGAATGGACCCGTCTCTCGTACAGTGAATCAATGTAAAGTTAAGAAGTTCGTCACTGGGTGAATATTATATCCAATCGGTACATTGGAACTCATTCAAACTGTTATCATGCGATCTTGATAAATAATCATAAAATTACTTTATCTAAGTTGCAAAGAATGTGGTATTTCTTTGTATAAGGCAGGTGTACTAATCGTTGTGTGCAAAACGCAACTACAACTTTCATTATATTATAGAAGGTAAATAATCTTTAACGACGCAATTTATCCATAGATACTCTCAAAGTCCCTTGTCATTTCCTCATCTAAGATCTTCGTGATTTGCGCAAATTAATCACATATTTTATGGCTATATAGATGTCCTTGAATCATATATTGACATTTCAAAGTCATATGAATACAATATCAAAATAACAACACAATAATTGCACAATCAAATTGTTTGCTCGTTATATACATATATATGAAATTTGCTTCTGTACGTACGTCAACATCACTTACAAATATTTGTGTAATGTATATTTTCGCACACACTTGTTGAGTATACATATAATATATATAATTATGTAATAAGCTATTATAGTAAAAAACAAGGAAACGATGAGGCAGTTAAAGTTATGGTGTATGTTCGAAGCTTTTTTTCTATAACAAAAACGTTCAAAATATAATCAACATAGATTATTTTACATCTCAAATAATATAGACGGTATTCTTTATAATTAGTACTATAATGTAACAAAATTATAGTACTAATTATAATTAGTAGTTTAAAATAATTATATAAAACGTTTATATAAGAATCGAAATTACTGTAATTGCAAATAGATACTGATAATTCATTTCGTCAATTATTATTTTTTAATTATTGCTACATATCGTCTCTATAAAAATAAGTCTAAACAAATAAAATTAATATCTAAGGGCATATAAAGACAGCCTCGGTGGTCTAGTGGTTTAGCACACCGCTTTACTATCCGATGGTTGTGGGTTCGAATCAGTTGTCTAGTACCCATAACACAAGCTCTCCTTAGCTGGGGACTAGAATTGTCCTGAGATATTATTATTATTATATTAGCACCATCTAGTCTCACATGTAACAGAACCTAAAACGAGGTGTCATAACTTCTGTATCATGATGTCTATTCATCCTTAGTATGTTATGAGGATGTTGTATGTCGTACACAATTTTTTTTCTTAGACTAATAGTTCAGGAGAAACGAAAATATGAATGATACAAACAGAATGGTTAAAGATATCATTATCAGCTCTTCTAAAGCCGTCAATTCTCACAATTTGTATTCAACATGGAAAATGGAAATTAAGAATAAATCTCTATACCTAACCGCCTGGCCGATGTAGTAATCAAAGGTTATATAGTTAAATATAGAAAGAAACCAATACCAACAGTGGATAGATAAATGGCTTGTTGATGTGAAATAAAAAAAATGTAGTTACTCGTGTTTTTTTAATGTGATGACTATGTCATGGTGATGGGGCTGTTCCGGTGTCCGCCATCGGATGTTATTATTGCCCTTGTTCGCACAATTATGGTACAATAGTCAAGGTCGTGGACGGATGACAGACGTGATGGCCCACTCTTCTCGTATGTAGCAGTATGACATAAATGACGTTAGATCCTAGTTAGTGTAGACAGATGCATTATTATCATTTCATCTATAGGTAGGTTGAATTAATAAATTCAAAAAATTATTTGAGTTTCTTACCAATTCTTCTCAACTAAAGTCGCTAGCAGAAGACGGTAGATAGGACGGTAAGTATAGTGATAAAAATTTTCATAAGCGCCTAAAAGTGTATGCATGAATGATTTTATATTTTGTTTAGGTTAAAATGTTACTTATGGCATATGGTACAGTCATCTTTATGTCCTGTAATCTGCCCAACATATGTCTGTACAAACTCCTGTTTCACACCTCCCAGATTAATTTTTGATATCGAAGCTAGCCTATATCCCGTAGTGACACAATCGATCTTCGTGTGGAATTATAAATATAATATTAACATCTGTTTAGCCAGTTAGTTGTGAAAATGTAACAAACAGACAGACAGACAGGCATTCATTATTATGAACGCCTGTCTGTCTGTCTGTTTGTATATATAATATACAGTAATAAGTAATAATATATGTACAGTAATATTTTACTGTAGATGCAGTAGTAGGATTATTTAGCTACTTTAATCACCAAACTTTAAATCAGTCCTAAATTTGGAAACCTGAAGCTATGCATCACACGTTACCTATTACTATCATTAAAAATTCGATTAGATATATATGTACTCTGTAACTTTAGTCTTCTAAAGTACCTAACACTCTTGTATTTTATAGTAGACGTCTGTTATTAACAGTTGTCTCTACAAGTGTATTTGTAAAAAAGATATAGGCACCGCTAATTTCAAACATAAGAACGGATGATAGGTATCCAGCTTTAAAGCCTAAATGTTGAATAAAGGAAATTCTTTTATGGATAGGTCTTAAAGTTAAAAAAACGTAACGGATTTATTAAGTATCACCAGATACTACTAAGTTATTATCTTCTAATAAGAATCTTAAAATGTTCGTTGATTCAATTATTTAAATTAGAATCGAATTGAGTAGTACTTTAGTCATCTATTTATAATATAAATAATTTGTATGAATCATGTCCTAAAATAATTATGAAATAATCTTATGTACATATCTACATAGCACACCTCGTGGACACTGACCTCAACAATACACAAGCTACTATAGTTTTCTCATAATTGTAATCAGAATAAATTACACTATATAAAAATATTTTCCACGTAGATCATGAGAAATACAACGTTACGCAAAAAAAAAATTTTGCGTAACGTTGGTATACTTATTAAAAAAATACACGACTATACTTAATACTTCCTTTTGCATAGCATAGTAACTTGAAATGATAATGATAGACTATTCACATTTGGTGCAGACTTCAGAATTCTCCAAAATGATCACATTAAAAATTAAATTGTCTCCTGACGTGACGTGAAAAATTTTTTTAAATTATGAAGTGTTACAATTTTAACTGATATACAGTATTCATATTTTTCTAAAGTTTAAATAAATAAATTACCTTGGACAATTCACACGCCGGCATATAGTCCCATCGTAAGAGGAGCTTGAGTTATGAGTACCAGACAACTGATATAAATACTTAGTAATTTTGTTTCTTAAAGACATACATAATATACACCCATACTCATGAATACAAATGTTGGCACTGTGCGAGGAATCGAACCCGTAACCATCGGAAGTAAAGCGGCTAAACCACTAGACCACTGTGGCC